TTGGAATTGCGCGCGCCATCGCACGATTGGCTTGCAACGTAGGCTCGATCTCTGCCGCTCACTCAGGAGTGCGGGCTCGTTTCCCGAACAACGGCTGGTAATCGAGCTTACTTGTAACGACGCATGGCACAGGCTTGTGCATGTCTTACGGCCACCATAGAAGGCATACTACAAGCTTCTGGTTTACTGTGAACATGTAAGAGCCTGCCGCACTTACTCAGAATTAGCAATGACTGTGAGTCCTTTGCTAACTGTCTTCACCCAAAGTTTTGGGATTGTAGGAATTTTTGAATTTGCGCTGGTTCCCCTGAGACACTTACGCATCTTTTTTGGCACTGTAGATCAACTCAGACTTTTTGGAACAATGTTTCGCAGTGGACCCCCGAAGAGCTTGACTTGACCAACTTGAACATTACCCCCTTTTCGCCAGCTCTTTGTCTCGGCATAATCGACAACATATCCAATCTTCTCCTACACCACTTCCTCCTCATTGCTAGACATTATATATATAGTTGCAAACTACGAAACACTATTCCTATGGTACAAGTGTACACTCAGTTAGTCATACGCTCCATGGAAATTGAGAAACAGATTGCGTTTGATAATAATAACTTAGCCTCTTTTAGGAAGAAATGGGCTACTTTTAAACAATGCCCCTCAGAATATAATTTGACCAATACAGTTAATTAAAGTACAAGTGACAAACGGGCAGATGGGTGATGGAGGACCATAAGGCAGGCAGCCTTCTTTTAATTGTTAATATATAAACTATAGTATTTTGGTGGACTTTGTCCTTCCTTTTCTTTTTTTATTTTTTTTTTTTTGTAAACGATAACAGTTACCTGTAATGAATTTTAAATGTAATGTATTGTAATTGTTTGTGTGTGCGAAATAAAAAAAAAAAGTAAAAAAAAAAAAAGGAGTTTGTAAACATTTCGGGTAAGAGTTAGGACGTTTCCAACTCAGGCTTGGCAATTCAAATTTGGCACTCATGTCAGGAATCTTACTTATGAACTGTCCCCTTCAGCGCGCGCCCTGAGGGAAAAAAGGTGAAAACGAAAACCGAATCCAGTGATCCTAGGCCGATTTAGACGGTACGATTTTTGCTTACGACTATCGCGCGCGACTAACATACTTCATGACTTTCGAGCATCCACACGCGCACACGATCTGTCGTGAAGTCATGACGTAGGCTAGTCGCGCACGATATCGTACAGGATATCGCAAAAATCGTACCGACTAAATCGAAAACAGCCGACACCAAGATCTGGATAGTTCTTCTGATTGACGAAGCAAAGTTTCAACCAATCAGATCTAGTGATGTGAAGTATATGAAATAATTCAATCAGATCTAGGTTGTGACGCGTTTTTGCACTCATTTCTCAGACGTCAATTCGCAGGAAAACTAGCGAAGGCGTATCGAAATATCGGCTGTTTTCGGGCTCAGGCGCTAAATCCAGTACGTTCTTTGTTTAGCGCGTGCACTTCATGTTAACAATAAGAAAGCTGATTAATTATGATAAAGCGTATTAACTTTTTTGAACAAACGAGTGGTAAGACAATACGTTGCCATGAAACCATTTTGTCAAGTGGCTGAGAATTCTGCAGTTACTCCGGATATTTTTCTTGCCGGATTCACCTTTATTCGAGAAGGACGCAGGCCATTTTTGGCTTTCGTTGTCGCTATGGTTGTTGTAATTACTGATTTCCTTCGGTTGGTAACCTACAGATCTGGCAGGGTTGTCCAAATACGATTTCGAAGCACGTAGCAGTGAGGATACAAGACTATAATACCGCAATCTATACAAAACTTAATTTTGATCGTACATGTTTGTCTTAAAAAAATACGAGGTGAACGCATACTGTATGTAATTTCCTTGTCATGTAGCATAGTCATTGGATTTCGGCTGATAAGTTTTAAGAACGAGATACACTGCTGAGTGATCTATACCTTTAGTTCTACTTGGTTATTTTTTATCCTTTTGGTTGCCTGTTTTGAAAATTTAAAAAGTTCGAGTTATCAGGAGCTGGAAGAAAATAGCCGGGAGTAAGGAAAAAACAGTTTTTACTACACAGTGAACATTGTAATCACATTTAATTGTAGAAATGTCAACTGAAAATTGAAAGATACTTCTAGATTGTAAGTCAGGACGTAACGTAACGTTTTAGAAGTAAAGATGTCAGTTCACGTTAATAGGACTGTGTGCGATGTCACGTGTCCTATAATATGTGATAATAACAAGGCATCATTCTCGACCCCAGTGCTTACGGGTTTGGGGAATACGTGCGTATTAATCTCTCTCCTCTACATGCGCAGAAGAGCTCTGGGTCGAGATTGAATAAGGCGTCAAAAAAATGCGCACAGGAGCTCATGACAACTGCGCATCAAACATGTCTGTGACTAACGCTTAAAAAATAAAAACAAAAGTTATACTGCATGCTGCATGTGCAAATAACGTATGGGCGAATCCTCGTTTACATTTTTGCCTCATTAGCATAAGCTTATCATTATCTGATGACGCTAATAAAATGAAATTTCTAAATATTGAAAGAGCTTAACAATTTCAGTTATCCCTGGAAATTGGAGCCCGACATACCAAATTGTTTCGGATAAATTCTCTTTGAAAAACCCCAATGTATGAGCTCATTCACGTTTTGCCACCCAGTAATTTTGCAGTTTTTAATTACTGTTATTTTCTTTGTTACTGATTGTAAAGAGCTGAAACTTGCACAAACTGCATAAATTAACCAGCTCTTTTAATTTTTTAATCTAACTGGTATACATGTATACGGCTACATCTTCTGTGGGTTAACTTGTATGCTACTGAGCAAAAATTTAAACAATGACGTCACGATTGATCCGCCTATGCACTTAATCATGTTCCCGAGGGAAACAGTTAGTTTTGTTTTTCCGAGAGTCCTTTCGTCTCGGGAAACATCAGGACTCGAGGAAAAACAAAACTAACTGGTTTCCCGAGGGACCCGACATTAAGTGTTTTGTTATATTTCTAGACCTTCACTTCAACAACAACAAAAGAGTAACCGGAGCGAATCAAAACAGACGACTCGGTACTTAAAAGAACTCAAAGTTAATTACCAAAACCACTGAATGAATGATTTACAAAGTACTTTCCTTATATTATCTGCATCTTTTTCCTCCACTAGCTGCTGTTTCTCCTCTGGGATAACTTTGAGCTTGAGGCGTCATGTTTGTGTTGTTTCATTCTCACGAAAAAAAAACTAGCGGGGTTTTCCCGCCTTCTGTCATGGCCGCTTTCCACCATCGGGATACATTTGATTTTAGTCAAGGTCACGTTACCAAGAATCAACCAATGGCAGTCCCTGTTTAGTTGAGTGAAAGTCTAAGAACATGACAAACACTGAACAAACCTATTTATACACGCAATATGTACTCTAGCATGACTAATAACAATTAAGAGATAAAAATAGCAAAAAAAGGAGACAATAAAAGAACTTCTGATTACTAAAGCCAAGTCACTGTAGGCGCCTATAAAATAAAAGGTCTTAAATAGTCTCTTAAACTTATCAAAATTATTCTCTTCCCTAACGAAGTCCGATAGGCTGCGTTGCCGACTTTTTTCTGGTTTCATCTGTGGGGAAGGCTAGTGTTGAGGTAAAAAGTTCCGTATGTATGTTTGAATAATCTTTCCCCAAGAGTGCGCTTTAACTTAGCCGTATGGTGTCTTGCAAAATAACTCCCACATTGCATTGAAGGTTGTAGCGAGAACATCGTGTAATTCTTATGAGGTTTCGCCTAAATACACTGTGAATAGCTTTCAAAGATATCAGGCCTGGAAAGAGACCACAGCGATTTTATAACAAGTTCACAAGTTCACAAGTTCACAACTTCACCGGTAGCCAACGCAGCGCATGCAGCACTGGCATTATATGACAGTATCTTGGTGTATGCGGACTCAGTGATAAGTCACGCTGCAGAATATTGAAGACGTTATAATTTGGAGAGATACACAGTTTATACACCTTGGAGAAGACCAGGGGAGAACACCGTTGCTATAATCAATGCGTGTCATGATCACCCCTTGCACAAGTAATCTACTGGAGGCAAGCTTCAACAGCTTCTTTAGTATATCTGATGCGATTAATAGCAGGGTGATTGGCATGTCTTGTTAATCCATGTTGTTATGTTAAGTACGTCAAACCACAAACCAAGCGGGTTGTAGACAGGGAAACTAATTACTATTATTAGAACTGTTCACTTCAGTGAACAAAGGTCAGCGGGTAAGCCCTTTTGAATTCCATCCAAGTGAACCGAGAAGTAATGAATAAGTAAAAAATCCAATTGTCTGTGAAAATGAGCGAAAAATGAGCGAAAAATAAAATAAAATTAACGGGGAGGTTTCATTCATCCACAGACTCAAGTACTTCATATAACAGATTCCGGCGGTGAAAGGTTAACCTTGACCGGGGAACTATACTCTTTTACCTTATATAACAAAGTTCCGCTTTGCTCAACCTATTGTTCTACTTCGTTAAGTGTATTGTTTTAAGCCCAGCTAAAAACTTTATATGCTGGTGCTTCGTGACCTCAGCTCATTTGTACGTGCAAGAACTTGATATGCTTTGTTATGCTGCATTCTAGAGGGTTTGCATATTTGGGGGTTTGGCAGACTGAAATGGAACCAAATTTTGATAACTGATGATTCGCAGGAAACTTACGTGATTTTTTAATCATGACAGCAAATACCACTGAAGAACAAAGAGTATCGAGATTATCGAGATGGGCGACTCTTTGCAGAGGAAAAACTGGTGTTGCAATTTTTGTAGTAGCTTTGTTGTGTGTTGTCGTTCTTTCGGTTTTGTTTGCTTTCTCTAGAGGGCCTAAATCTTGCAACACAGAAGAGAAAGATGACTGTGAATCGAAGTTCGCAGTCGTTGGAAAGATTTGTGGAGGTACCTTTCTCATTATTTTTGTTGGCAGTGGAGCTGTAATAATAGCTCGCAACAAGAAAGAGAGAAAAATTAGAGACGTTGTTGTCTCCGAGGTTCCCATAGAAGACTTGGAAAAATCTCCAGCTCCAATCCTTCCGTACAATCATATTCCTCATCGCTCGGCGATCTGTCAAGCTTGTTCAACAGATTTGCCTGACTACTTTATTGCGATTTCAAATGTTTCTGAAGTTTCACCACAATTAAGTGAGGGATTTTGGACGGAAGACATTGATACCTCGGATGATGAAAATGGCCCACCACCATGTTATGAACAAGCTCTTCGAATGTCGAAATATTTTACAGTTGCTGCCGACTTAGAATATGATCAGACGAATCAGGAGGGACAAATTGAAGATACAAGACTTTGAATATCATAAACCCGGATTTCTTATCACTAGTTGCAATGACTTTGGTTGATTCTTTGAGTCAACAGATTGCAGTTGGATTTTCATGAGTGCAAATACAGTGTAAATTAATTTTGTATAAATTAAGAATTCAAACTTTATAGCGTGCGTATATCGAGTTATGGATGCAAACTTTGGAGAGCACGAAAGATGCGTAAGAGTTCTACCTTCTTGAGTGCTCTCCAAACTTCCCAAGTGCATCCATAACTCGATATACGCACAGCTAAAGACATGAGCAAATTCATAGCTGACAAATCACCTGACAGAAATGGTTTCCTTTTGATTAACTGCAAAATTCTCCTAACGCGCGACACAGAAAAACGAACGCTTCCATTGGCTGGTTACAAACACGCCACAATCGTCTGGTTTGAATAAAATTTTTTCTGTAAAACTGAGAAAGAAAATTTGCTTATTTATTCGTTAACGAGCAATGGGAACTAAGCAGAAACCAAGGTAAGCGAGACTTAAAGTCCACCTAAAGTTTAAATACTCACATGTAAGAAGTCGTGGAGTATGGTTTGGATTCGCGGAAAAGATGTTTATTTTGTTCGGCGACATCGAGAAACAGTGACTTGCTTTTTAGCGAAGATGACTGCCATCTTACTTTATATTCATTTACGAGCAACAACTGGTCATTACGGTTTATTAAGAAGACCAGGTAGCAGTTGTTTTTGTGAGTAATAAATTTGTCTTCTTGTGTAATTTGTCTTGTTATTGCAAGAGAAATTTTCCCTTCCTCAGTCGGATTGTTCGGCGATCACAAAAGTGCATATACTCTTTTCGCTGTTGAGCTTACGTTATAATTAACTTGTGTTGTAAAGGATACTAAAACAAACGTTAAAAAGGGAGGTCACTTTAGACAAATTGGATATTTCCCGACACGGACCAATTTGGGATCTTTTCCAGCTGAATGTCAGTCTTTCCGGCAGACTTCTCAACGATTCAGGCTCTATCATTCGCGAAAAATCTTCACCGCTTTTGCTGTTGGTTTGAGTGGCTAGACGCTCAATTCCAAAAATGCTAGCAAGTTTTTCATCATTGCCGTCGATTTTTGGGTACTAAGTACTAAAGAAAAGAGACGAAAAACACAACTGAACACGTCGTCATGAAAAAAATCTTTATTTACGCACGGGCGTTCAGGGCGGCTCAGTAGGACTGGTTTCCATATGATCGTTGCGATCGCTGAGAAAAAAAAGTTCAGCGATCGCAGCGATCATATGAAAACCACTTTCCAGCGATCGCAGCGACAACGATCGCTGAGATACAAAAAGTGTTCTGTCTCAACGATCGTTGTCGCTGCGATCGCTGGAGAGGTTTCTATATGATTGCAGCGATCTCATAGCGATCATATGGAAACCGGGCTTTATATAGGGCAAGCACGCGCGCTATGTTATAAACAGTTTTTAGACATTTTACTCACAGTTTTTCATGTATTGAGCATACAGACTGAGTGAAAACCTCAACTCCCACCACTGTCAAATGTCTGAGGCGTTTTTTAAAACGTTGACTTTAGGCTAATACTTCTTTGAGTCAGCAGATTAGATTTTCATGCCGGGTGCAAATATAGAACTTTTTATATAGAACGACCTTCCCTCAAATATAAGAAACAGAAGTTCGTATAATATGTTTAAGAAAAGAGTCAAAGAGTATGTGATTAAGAAATAATTGTAATAGTTTTAGTTCATATCAGTTCGTAAAACAGGAAGTCTGCCTTCTGCATTCTTTAAATCTGCTTAGAATAAAGCGGAGATCGTGTAGAAGCTCTTATAGTAATGTAAAAAAATTATATACTGTTTTACCTTCGAATATTGTAACGGCTTAGATCATGTTGCTGATGTATATATGTAAACTCTAACGATGCTTCAGTGTATTTGGAATTTAACTGATGAGTTGGTCAACGCTTCGTTGGCCTACGAAACAGTATATTTGTATTAAAGTCCATGATTGATATGAAACAAAATTGAGTAGAAAAGCTTTGTTATTTCCAACAACTTTATTGACTTTATCTTCGACATGAAGATTTCAGTACCAAAACAATGATAAATAAAAAAAGTAAAATAAAAGTTAAGTAAGAAAGAAAGGAACCGAATTGAATATTATCATAAAAGAAAAATTACTTGGCTATGTACGGCATCTACGGGCGTATATGATAAGAAAGTTTATTACCGCTCCATAATTGTTGCGCACTATCCTGGATTTAGCAGTGTGGAACTCACCTTTTACTTATCTATATATACCACTGAAGAACAAAGAGTATCGAGATGGGCGACTCTTTGCAGAGGAAAAACTGGTGTTGCAATTTTTGTAGTAGTTTTACTGTGTGGTGTCGTTCTTTCGGTTTTGTTTGCTTTCTCTAGAGGGCCTAAATCTTGTAACACAAAAGAGGAAGATGATTGTGGTGAATCAAAGTTCGCAGTCGTTGGAAAGATTTGCGGAGGTACCTTTCTCATTATTTTTGTTGGCAGTGGAGCTGTAGTAATAGCTCGCAACAAGAGAGAGAAAAAAATAAGAGACGTTGTTGTCTCCGAGGTTCCCAGAGAATGGAAAAATCTCCAGCCCCAATCCTTCCGTACAATCATATTCCTCATCGCCCGGCGATCTGTCAAGCTTGTTCAACAGATTTGCCTGACTACTTTATTGCGATTTCAAATGTGTCTGAAGTTTCAACACAATTAAGTGGGGGATTTTGGACGATAGACATTGATACCTCGGATAATGAAAATGGCCCGCCACCATGTTATGAGGAAGCTCTTCGAATGTCGAAATATTTTTCAGTTGCTACCGACTTAGAATATGATCAGCCGAATCAGCAGGGACAAAGTGAAGATACAAGACTTTGAATATCATAAACCCTTGCAATGACTTTGGTTGATTCTTTGAGTCAACAGATTGTAGTTGGATTTTCATGAGTGCAAATACAGTGTAAATTAATTTTGTATAAATTAAGAATTTGTTCATACTTAGCGTGCGTATATCGAGTTATGGACGCACGCGGGAAGTTTGGAGAGCACGAAAGATGCGTAAGAGTTCTAGCTTCTTGAGTGGTCTCCAAACTTCCCAAGTGTATCCATAACTCGATATACGCACAGCTAAAGACATGAGCAAATTCATAGCTGACAAATCAGCCGACAGAAATGCTTGCTTTTTGATTAACTGCAAAATTCTCCTAACGCGCGACATAGAAAAACGAACGCTTCCATTGGCTGGTTACAAACACGCCACAATCGTCTGGTTTGAATGAAAATTTTTTTCTGTAAAACTGAGAAGAAAATTTGCTCGTTAACGATCAATGGGAACTAAGCAGAAACAAAGGTAAGCGAGACTTAAAGTCCACCTAAAGTTGTGAATACTCACATGTTCGTAAGAAGTCGTGGAGTATGGTTTGGATTCGCGGAAAAGATGTTTATTTTGTTCGGCGACATCCAGAAAACTTGCTTTTTAACGAAGGTGACTGTCATCTTACTTTATATTCATTTACGAGCAACAGCTGGTCATTACGGCTTCTTGAGAAGACCTGGTAGCAGTTGTTTTCGTGAGTAATAAATTTATGTCTTCTTGTGTAATTTGTCTTGTTATTGCAAGAGAAATTTTCCCTGCTTCAGTCGGATTGTTCGGCGATCACAAAAGTGCATGTACTCTTTTCGCTATTGAGCTTACTTTATAATTAACTTGTGTTGTAAAAGATACTAAAACAAACGTTAAAAACGGAGGACAGTTTAGACAAATTGGATATTTCCCGAAACAGACCAATTTGTGGTCTTTTTCCAGCCGAATGTCAGTGTTTCCGGCAGACTTCTCAACGACTCAGGCTCTATCATTTGCGAAACATCTTCACCGCTTTTGCTGTTGGTTTGAGTGGCTAGACGCTCAATTCCAAAAATGCTAGCAAGTTTTTCATCATTGCCGTCGATTTTTGGGTACTTAGTACTAAAGCAAAGAGACGAAAAACACAACTGAACACGTCATCATGAAAAAAATCTTTATTTACGCACGGGCGTTCAGGGCGGCTCAGTAGGACTGGTTTCCATATGATCGTTGCGATCGCTGAGAAAAAAAAGTTCAGCGATCATATGAAAACCACTTTCCAGCGGTCGCAGCGACAACGATCGCTGAGATACAAAACGTGTTCTATCTCAACTATCGTTGTCGCTGCGATCGCTGGAGAGGTTTCTATATGATTGCAGCGATCTCATAGCGATCATATGGAAACCGGGCTTTATATAGGGCAAGCACGCGCGCTATGTTATAAACAGTTTTTAGACATTTTACTCACAGTTTTGCATGTATTGAGCATACAGACTGAGTGAAAACCTCAACTCCCACCACTGTCAAATGTCTGAGGCGTTTTCTAAAACGTTGACTTTAGGCTAATACTTCTTTGAGTCAGCAGATTAGATTTTCATGCCGGGTGCAAATATAGAACTTTTTATATAGAACGACCTTCCCTCAAATATAAGAAACAGAAGTTCGTATAATATGTTTAAGAAAAGAGTCGAAGAGTATGTGATTAAGAAATAATTATAATAGTTTTAGTTCATATCAGTTCGTAAAACAGGAAGTCTGCCTTCTTCATTCTTTACATCTGCTTAGAATAAAGCGGAGATCGTGTAGAAGCTCTTATAGTAATGTAAAAAAATTATATACTGTTTTACCTTCGAATATTGTAACGGCTTAGATCATGTTGCTGATGTATATATGTAAACTCTAACGATGCTTCAGTGTATGTGGAATTTAACTGCTGAGTTGGTCAACGCTTCGTTGGCCTACGAAACAGTATTGTATTAAAGTCCATGATTGATATGAAACAAAATTGAGTAGAAAAGCTTTGTTATTTCCAACAACTTTATTGACTTTATCTTCGACATGAAGATTTCAGTACCAAAACAATGATAAATGAAAAAAGTAAAATAAAAGTTAAGTAAGAAAGAAAGGAACAATTGAATATTATCATAAAAGAAAAATTACTTGGCTATGTACGGCTTCTACGCAACTCGTATGGTAAGAAAGTTTACTACCGCTCCATAATTGTTGAGCACTATCCTGGATTTAGCAGTGTGGAACTCACCTGTAGTTATCCATATATATATATAGAACTTTCACAGTTTTTAGACATTAAATCTCTTTAGTTAACAGTCCGGCTTGTATGTATTGAGCATACAGACTGAGTTAAGACAACACTTTGAATACCTTAAAATCCCACATTAAAGCACTGGGCTCCGGCTATTTAAGGGGTTTTGGGTTTGCGGAACGACGAGGTAAAACGTATCTGAGAAACGAATTAAAGCAAACATACCATTACGTTTAGAGTTACATTTATAATGCATTTTTTGTGCGTCACAATAAACGGAGAATGTTCTCCACCAAGTATGTTGAGGGCTTGTGAAGCTCGCTTGGCTTTTCAACGAGAGGACCAAGACTCTGTTCTTTCTCTTTAGACAGCAGTTTATTCTTCAACAGCTATTGACAACAACTCTACTACTCAACTAGCTTACACAGCGAATTAAATAACCATATTGTAGAGTTATTTTGAGTTAGCTGACCGGAAGAGTTTCTATTGAATACCTTATCGCCTATATCGCAACAGGTTTGCTATAGTAAGATAAGCCTACACAGCCGCAACCGACAAGTACCAAAGAACCAGTTAAATGCTAACAGTGAAACTGCCCTGGAGGACAAAACAGGAACTCGACTGTGGGTAAAACTCGAGGTAAACTGTACTCCCCAAACAAGCCTACTTCAAAGAACCAAAACTAAATTTAACAAACACTTCAAATGGATAATACTAGACAAAAACTGAGGAACTAACCATGTGGGGAAATACATTGAATCTCTAAGTTTCTAAGTCTAAAAAAGTCTATAAACTGTTTATCACGAAGCTAGCAAAATCTTAAAAACAGCAACACTGAAAAACAAAACTAAAGGCAACTACCTCATAACATCTATAAAACACTAATGCGACAGGAACAACTGGAACGGAACAGAAATACCAAAGTACAAAAAAGTACAAGCCTTAACGTTATCAATTTGCCTGTTTGCCACTTGTTTACGGTATGCCTATAACTTTAGATTAACATTTTTGATGTTTGTGAAGAAACGCAAAAGGAATTCACTTATACATTAGATGGGCTTATAAACAGGGGGGAGGGGGGGCTTATATCCGGAATAATTTCTTCGTTAGCAAACGGATGGGCCTATATCCGGGGGGGCTTTAACGTGGGATTTTACGGTATCCTAACCCTAGATTACTAATACTACTTACACCGTAAAATTGCACTGACTTGGGTTGATTTTATAGAAGGCGGATTAAGTTGGGTTTTCACGCTTGCAAATACAATAATTGTAGATATTTTTCTCTTAACAGTCTTACATGTATAGTATACTGCACCTTGAGATCGATTAAGGAATTATCAACTCATCAAAAACCCCTCTAAGTGGTTATTAACTGTATTTAACATTCTTGAGTGTAACAAAGAGGACACAGGTTGAGTGAGAACCTTCACTACGCATTGAGCATTATGTTTTATTGCCACACAAATGAAGCATTTTTACTAAATTACTAAACAGCCAAGAAACCATGACTACTGAACTCTTTGAACACTGTGCGTTAGAGTCACTTGGAAACGTATAGTACAGCACTAAAGTTTGATCAAATGTAACATAAATAGTATTCTGATATTAGAAGAGTAAGTGTGTCTAACTTAAATAAATTTCGATTAGACGCTGAATAGGTTATAATCTCCCAACGACTGAAACAAATAGAACCAGGGTCACTGGGGTGTGTTGTGTCAAGGTTAATCTCGTCGGACGAGTTTTATCAAGTTTAAAACAAGTTTGGTGAAACAGGAAATGCAAGATTATTTAACTGGGTTTCACAACTTTAAATAACTATACTGAGTCTTAATATAGCTTACGTTCAATATTCAGGTGGAAAGATGAGTTATTTATAAACCATATATTTTTATTCTTGCTGTCAGCACTCATCATTACCGTGTACCTTCACTTACAGCTGTATCGTTGACAGGACCATGACTTGCCTATTAAATGGTTTTTATTTAAAGTTACACTGGAAACAAAAACACGTTAGTAACTATGGAATGAACATTCACTACAGAAGTTAACGCATGCATAAAATATGTCGTGGCATTAGACAAGGCATCTTTCCTACTGAAGCTTCAAAGCTGCACGGGTCACTAACCAACAGAATAAACGCATTCTTCTGTAAGTGCTAATCCAGCACTGAGTTCCAGCAACTGGACGATTGTTTTAATTTTAATCCATAGAAAATACATGTCCGGTTTGCCCAAACGGTCTGGACCCTTATAGTTAACCACAAGATTCTCGGGCCATTTTATCTAGTCCTCGCCTTTCAATTCACCATGGAATCTATGCAGTTGTAAGGTCCGTCACTGGACTGATCCGAAACTGGTGACTGAGGAAAATGTCTCATCGTAATAAACCTTGGGGCACAACCGGACTTTAAACCAGTCTGCAGACTCTCGGCATCTGTTTTGACCTTGAATACCGACTTGTCTCTAACAGTGTTTCTAACAGCTTTCCATCCCCTTGGAAGATTCATCAACTCCCAAACATTGTCTCAAAGGGGATCAATTTCATTCTCTTTTGCCTTATAATCTGGGCTGTCCAGTGGCTCAGTTAACTCGGCATTCTGGACACTTGCCCATTCTCAGTAATAATCAAGTGCTTTGATCTTCGCACCACTGGATCTACCCCTATCCGTCAGCTGTGTATTCTATACCAGCTGCATGTTTTTCATCACATGTTTCACGGCTCTTGGGAAAAACTAAAGGGCAATGTATTGTAATTTTTGTTCAAATCTACCGTGGTTTAATAAAGTATTCTATCTATCGTGGAAGTCCAATCAGTTCACAAATCGCTCGCCACTTCTTTAGGCTGGGGCTTACGCAACTCGAACGTGGCCACAAAAGACCCTTTGAAACCTTGGATTATCCAATCGGTAACCCTTCCACTCAGTGCCGCAACCTAGGATTCCGCACTTCCTCGATTTTGCATCCAGTTTCTGGTGACCTACAGTTGTGTTTTGCACCGCCTAGGCTTCAAAAGGTGTCTTCCCTTCGACTGCATTTGTCGAACGGATTTCTCAGTGCACCGCCGTATGCAATGCTTTGACCTAAATACGATGTGGTGTCCTCTCAGATCAACTAGCATATGTCAGGCACCGCTTCAACCAATGTGCTATTCATCAGCATTCTGCTGAGGAGTATTAAGTGCAGTCAGCTCTTGTCGAACTCCTCTCCTTAAGAACTTTTACAAATTCCCTCTGAGATGCACTCCATCAACTGGAACCAAGAGCCTTAATGAGCTCTTGCTGGAACTTTCTTCTGTGGCGTGTTCCTTCCACACATGAGATACAAAAATACGTTTCTCGACGTATTGCTGATGATCAAATCATCAACCAGTTTTTTCTTGGACAACTTTCGCAGGTTTCGTCTTTCAAGGTGGCCATATTTTCGTTCACAGCTTCATTGGCTTGTTCATTATCAGCCTGACAGTTCAAATTGTACAACCCTGCCCCTTAGAGGTAACCGTCTTGTTTGAGTCCAATATTTCACGCCCAGTCTCACTGAACTTTGCCACCTTTCGAACTTTGCTGCCTTTCACACGCTCAACAGGTTTTATGACAGGCACTTAGTTTGCAGCTTCTAACTTTACTGCCAACCGATGTCAACTCCAACACGACAGTGGCACTTCCACTTCGTATCCCGGCATTACTAAACATGACCTCCAGTATCTGCTTCAGACAATGAAACTCAATGAAACTCACTGAACAGAATATAATCACCACACATGTGAAGGTTTGCTTCCGACTCACGATTACTTCATTCAAGTTTCCAGGAGATCTCGCCAAGACATTCACCATCCGAACTCCTACTGTCTCTTCGCCTGACTTCCCTATTTACGTTCAATTGTTAGCACTGCTAGCTTCCTTTTTATTTTGAGTTAGTTTTCTTTTCTTGTTCATTCTCTAGACCAGGTTTTCCACATTGTCTTTCCTTTTGGTCTTTGACTCTTTCTCTGCATGCCGGAATCTATCAAAGCCAATCCACGAGATTTCTGTCTTCATGCAGCAAACGTTAAGTAGCAACTTCCATCTTAGGTACATCCTCGTTTGCTTTAAGGCCAGCACCCATCACATTATATGATGTGGGCGCTGACCAGTAAGTGCACAACACTACCGTCTTCAGGAATAGAATCCTCAGTCGCTGACAGCCCATCAAAAAATCCCCTTCATTAATTTTTTTTACAGAATCGCCCTCTTTAACCCTCAAAGAAATTATGTACCTCATTGCAACTTGCTGACCCAAGTTCAACTCTGAATTCTGTCTTTCCAGGTTCTTTCATACGGTAGCAGGGTGTTAACGACTGGCGAGTAAAAATAGCATGAACGTTGTTCGACTGACAGCAGAATCGTTGCTAACGCTTTGTCCTTTCAAACCAAAAACTTCGGAAAGTTTTCTTTTACACCAGAAGCACGCTCAGTATAACTTATTTCTTCAAACCAAAAACCTCGAGCCTTCTACGTCAGATCATTCGACCAATTAAAATGAAGACGAACAGCTACGGTTTCTCGATTTGGAAGCGGCGTCATCTTGACAATATCGCCAGGCCAGGCAGCACAGCAAAATGCAGATATGGCGGCAGGCATTCAGGCACGCAGTTGATTCCCGGTCTCTACAGCACATCGGGGACTAGCTTGGTGGCAATGTTCTGGGCCTTTAACCTGTTTCGGTTCGACTTAGTGAACGTACGAGAGCTCCCGAAGTCTCTAAGTACAACTTGAACTTTATTTACGAGCAAAACTCAAGAGAACTTTGTGACAGATCGATTACCAATGAAAGAGAGAAAACTGGCCAAATTTGACCGCTTATATAAGACGAAGACCTTTTCAAGAAAAACCTGTTTGTCCAGTTTAAAGCCTGTCATAGAAATTTCTTGAAACATCTTTAATATGCTAATTGGCTCCTTAAAATAAACAGTCCTAACAAAATGCAACTTGAACAAAAAACATGTCTAAGTTCCATCAAAACTGCTTCTCCATATACGGTATTTTCTAAAGTGGTACCGACCAAGGGCTAGATTTGCTGCGGAGGATGGTTAGTGCTCGAAAAGTCAACCATTAAAAATATTTCCTTGGTACTTATTTGAGCTTATAACATTTATCAACACGGTAACTTATTTTGTTATCTGGAGTCTCCCTGGACCCGGCCGCGCGGGTCGTCTCGGGGGACTGTTGCGACATCAGGTGATATCAGGTCATTTAGTTTTAATTTTAGGTTTTGGTCCTTTGTCCTTTGTCTTCTGATCTATTCAAGTGTGCCGAAAACTAACTGTTAAAATACAAAATGGTTTTTTGTTGTATGAAAAAACAAAATAAAGCCCGGTGAAGAACTGACAAAGAGGTTTCATTTGAATGGTCACACAATAGGATTTGATCCACAGACTCAAAAGTTAGAACTTCTTCCAATTCCTTTTCGGTCAGCTTCTGGTTCTACCTCGTTGCGCCTTTTGTTTTCAGTCTACCTAATGGGGGTTGAACGTGACCATTGCCTTAATTGTACTTGTAAACATCTCTTGGTTAAAAATGTGCATGGCGAGTGGCAGGAAATGGAACCAAATTCTCTTTTCTCGTATTTCTTCAGACACTTGACTGATGTTTTGAATAATGGCTGATAATACCAATGAAGAACCAAGATTATCAAACTGGTCGACTCTTTTAAGAGGAAAAACTAGCGTTGCAGTTTTTGTAGTAGCCTCCATGTGTATTGTATTGCTTTCAGTTTTGCTTGCTTTGACGAAAGTTCCCGCTAAATCTTGCAATTCCCAAGAGAAAGATGATTGTAGCCAATCAAATATCGCGTTGGTTGGAAAGATTTGTGGAGGTGTCTTCATCTTATTTTTTGTTGTCAGTGGAGCTGCTGTAATAGCTTGCAACAAAAGACACAGGCCTGAAAGCAACTCAATAGATGTAGTTGTCTCCGAGATTCCCATGGAAGATTTGGAAAAATCTCCAGCTCCAATCCTTCCGTATAATCATATTCCTCATCGTCCTGTATGTGCTGAAGCCTGTTCTACAGATTTGCCTGACTACTTTATCGCGATTTCAAATGTTCCGAACGTTTCTCCACACTTAAGACTGAGAGGATTTTGGACGGAAGACATTGATAACTCGGATGATGAAAATGACCCGCCACCATGTTATGAGCAAGCGCTTATAATGTATGGTTTGATATCAATCGAGTCCGCCGAGCTTGAAGATCAGCATCAACAAGGAAATAGTGAAGATACAAGACTATAGTATCATAGCCCCGGATTATTAAGCCTTCAGGGCAGCCAAACTTGCATTGACTTGGTTTGATTCTTTGAATCATTGAAGTTGGATTTTCATGGGTGCAAATATAGTTCAGTTTTTAGAAATTACATCTCTTAACAGTCTTGCATGTATTGAGCATAAGGACCAAGTGAAAACCTCTTCATCTTCACCACTGTCAAATTTCTGGCGTTCACGTTGACTTGGAGTTGCTCTTTGAGTTAGCAGATTGAAGTTGGATTTTAATGTGTGCATATATAAAACAGTTTTTATATATTATATTTCTTAACAGTCTGAGTTGCATGTATTGAGCATCTTCCAGGGATTGAGCACACAGGACTATAGTGAAAACCTCCACTTCCACCACTGTCAAATGTCTGAGGCGTTTTTTAAAACGTTGGCATAGGTTGATTGTTTGAGTCAGCAGATTGAATTTGATCAGGGGTGCAAGTAGAAAACAGTTTTTAGACATTATATCTCTTAACAGTCTTACATGTATTTACATGTATGAGACTTGAGTGAAAACCTCTACTTCCACCATGGTCAAATGCCGTCTGAGGAGTCAGTTTATGTTTCATCTGTGTGATTTCATTTAGACCATTTACCACTCGGTGGAAACATGGGCTAAAATGTATGGAACAGTTAGTTAAAGATTTTCTCGCAGCATTTTCTGAAATGATGAGCCTCTCTTCGTTGTAAATGCTATGCACCCGAGTACAAGTATGTCTGGCAAATAGCGTCGACGGCGTTTGACAGAGATGAAACTTTTGACTGTCAATTGATTCAGAGTCCTAAACGGCTAACTGAGCAAAATAATTAGACTTTTTGCCAGCACAAAACGATGTTTTTGCTTAGTTACTTAAACTCAAGAAAATGTTACCTACCTGTGAATTAGGGACCACTTGCAAAGAAATGGAAACGCGCAGAACAGTACAAAAACTTCGTCAATGTAACAAAAAAAGTATTTCTACTTGAGAAGTATGTAATTCATGCAATAGATTACTGTCTCAAACAATTTTGTTTTAATTCGCGATGATTTAAAAGCCGGAGCGGCAACTTGCGTCTGGGGTTTTTTTGTCAAGTTTACACAAGAGCCATAATGGGAAATGGCTCTTGGTTTAATTTACGTTTGATGAACTGCGAAATATTTATATTTATATTTATATTTAAGGGACAGCTTTTTAAGCGAAGTCTAAAAGAACTTATGTTTCGTGTTCTAAGTTGCAAAGAAGAGTTATTTGTGAACCATAGTTTTTTCAGTTGTGTAACAATATTTATACTGCTTGCAGACAGAACAAATCGCTACCTTTTATTAAAGCAAGAGTATTTCAAAATTCCAAGATTAATATTGTCTGATCTCTCCCAAAGTAAATGAGTGGAGTCTAAGATGGTGCCAACTTTTGATTCCGTGGACAAAATCCTGGGGTAAACTTATGGACAGTATATAATAAGAGATTGCTCGCAGTCTATTTAGATTACAGCATTATGGTCTTGCTCCTCACTGCTATGCGCTTCAAAATCGTATTAGGACAACCCTGCCATTTTAAGAGCCTGTTCGTAATAAGGTGGTGGACTTTCATCATCCGCATCAATATCTTCTGTCCAAAATCCTTCATTTGATTGCCGTGAAACATTCGGAAGTATTGGAGCGGGTGATTTTTCTAAGTCTTCAGTGGGAATCTCGGAGACAGTAGCTGGAGTAGGAAAACTTCTCCCCATTGTTTTTTAACATGTTACTGTTATAGACTCTCCTGAAATAGTAAGGAACGACGGAGACAGCTCTGCAAATCTCTCCTGCAAATGGGTTTGACAATCTACAACAGTGAAGCGAGTTACGCAGTTGACAAGGTCTGTTTCCAGCTGATAAAATAAAAAACGCCGATAGTAAAACAGTACCCGCCAAAACGAGAATTAAAAGAAACAAAACCCGCTAAAATGGCTCTCTTCCTCCAGCGTGTACAGACTGTGGGTTCTTCATTAATCTCTGCCATAGTTAAATATCTAGAACTGTCCGCACAACACCTGAAGTACAGTCAACTTTATAGCGGACACTTTAGGGAACTCGAGCTAGCGTCCTCATTAGCGAGAGTCCGTAATACAGTCAACTTTCGTCTTGCGAACACCCCGCTATAACAGACACTCCGATAATACGGACAACAACTAAATCCCAAGCAAAAATAATTTACAGACGTTTTACTAAAGTAAACTCCCGCTATTGCGGACTCTCGCTCATGAGAACACTAGCTCGAGGTCCCTGCAGTGTCCATTTTCTTCAAATGCATTTCGAATTCGCATATTTCTACTTCGTTCTTATTCATTTGGAATTGAAACGATAAATACTTTCATACACTCCCCTAGTTCTCTCGAAAACCATACCCGATTCCAGACCAAAAAGGCCCAAAAACCATAACCTTAGGGGCATTACATACCTAGATGGCTTACATAAGGGAGTAACCTGTTTCGGTTCGTACCAGAGCTCCCCAGGTCTCTAAATACAACTTGAACTTTATTTACGAGCAAAACTCAAGAGAACTTTGTGACAGATCGATTACCAACGAAAGAGAGAAAACTGGCCAAATACGACCGCTTGCATAATACGAGAACTTTGGAGGTTATGAAAAGTTCTTGAAACATCTTTGATATGCTAATTAGCTCCTTGAAATAAACAGTCATAACAAACTACAACCTGAACAAAAAACTTGTCTAAGTTCATCAAAACTGCTCCTCCCTACACGGTATTTTCTAAAGTGGCACCGACCAAGGGCTAGATTTGCTGCGGAGGATGGTTAGTGCTCGAAAAGTCAACTATTAAAAATATTTTCTTGATACTTTATTGAGTTTATAACGTTTATTAGCTCGGTAACTTATTTTGTTATCTGGAGTCTCCCTGGAACCGGCGGCGCGGGTCGTCTTAGGGGACTGTTGCGAAATCAGGTGATCTCAGGTCATTCAGTTTTAATTTTAGGCTTTTGTCCTTTGTCCTTTGTCTTCTATTCAAGTGTGCCGAAAACTAACTGTTAAAATACAAAATGGTTTTTTGTTGTATGAAAAAACCAAATAAAACACAGTGAAGAACTGACAAAGAGGTTTGATTTGAATGGTCACACAATAGGATTTGATCCACAGACTGAGAAGTAAGAACTTCTTCCAATTCCTTTGCGGTCAGCCAGTTATGGTTCTACCTCGTTGCGCCTTTTGTTTTCAGTCTACCTAATGGGGGTTGAACGTGACCATTGCCTTAATTGTACTTGCAAACATCTCTTGGTTGAAAATGTGCGTGGCGAGTGGTAGCAAATGGAACCAAATTTTCTTATCTCGTATTTCTTCAGACACTTGAGTGATGTTTTGAATAATGGCTGATAATACCAATGAAGAACCAAGATTATCAAACTGGTCGACTCTTTTAAGAGGAAAGACTTGCGTAACATTTTTTGTAGTAGCCTGGATATGTATCGTAGTGCTTTCAATTTTGCTTGCTTTGATGAAAGTCTCCGCTAAATCTTGCAATTCCCAAGAGAAAGATGATTGTAGCCAGTCAACTATCGCATTGGTTGGAAAGATTTGTGGAGGTGTCTTCATCTTATTTTTTGTTGTCAGTGGAGCTGCTGTAATAGCTTGCAACAAAAGACACAGGCCTGAAAGCAACTCAATAGATGTAGTTGTCTCCGAGATTCCCATGGAAGATTTGGAAAAATCTCCAGCTCCAATCCTTCCGTATAATCATATTCCTCATCGTCCTGTATGTGCTGAAGCCTGTTCTACAGATTTGCCTGACTACTTTATTGCGATTTCAAATGTTCCGAACGTTTCTCCACACTTAAGACTGAGAGGATTTTGGACGGAAGACATTGATAACTCGGATGATGAAAATGACCCGCCACCATGTTATGAGCAAGCGCTTATAATGTATGGTTTGATATCAATCGAGTCCGCCGAGCTTGAAGATCAGCATCAACAAGGAAATAGTGAAGATACAAGACTATAGTATCATAGCCCCGGATTATTAAGCCTTCAGGGCAGCCAAACTTGCATTGACTTGGTTTGATTCTTTGAATCATTGAAGTTGGATTTTCATGGGTGCAAATATAGTTCAGTTTTTAGAAATTACATCTCTTAACAGTCTTGCATGTATTGAGCATAAGGACCAAGTGAAAACCTCTTCATCTGCACCACTGTCAAATTTCTGGCGTTCACGTTGACTTGGAGTTGCTCTTTGAGTTAGCAGATTGAAGTTGGATTTTAATGTGTGCATATATAAAACAGTTTTTATATATTATATTTCTTAACAGTCTGAGTTGCATGTATTGAGCATCTTCCAGGGATTGAGCACACAGGACTATAGTGAAAACCTCCACTTCCACCACTGTCAAATGTCTGAGGCGTTTTTTAAAACGTTGGCATAGGTTGATTGTTTGAGTCAGCAGATTGAATTTGATCAGGGGTGCAAGTAGAAAACAGTTTTTAGACATTATATCTCTTAACAGTCTTACATGTATTTACATGTATGAGACTTGAGTGAAAACCTCTACTTCCACCATGGTCAAATGCCGTCTGAGGAGTCAGTTTATGTTTCATCTGTGTGATTTCATTTAGACCATTTACCACTCGGTGGAAACATGGGCTAAAATGTATGGAACAGTTAGTTAAAGATTTTCTCTCAGCATTTTCTGAAATGATGAGCCTCTCTTCGTTGTAAATGCTATGCACCCGAGTACAAGTATGTCTGGCAAATAGCGTCGACGGCGTTTGACAGAGATGAAACTTTTGACTGCCAATTGATTCAGAGACCTAAACGGCTAACTGAGCAAAATAATTAGACTTTTTGCCAGCACAAAACGGTGTTTTTGCTTAATTACTTAAACTCAAGAAAATGTTACCTACCTGTGAATTAGAGACCACTTGCAAAGAAATGGAAACGCGCAGAACAGTACAAAAACTTCGTCAATGTAACAAAAAAAGTATTTCTACTTGAGAAGTATGTAATTCATGCAATAGATTACTGTCTCAAACAATTTTGTTTTAATTCGCGATGATTTAAAAGCCGGAGCGGCAACTTGCGTCTGGGGGTTTTTTGTCAAGTTTAAACAAGAGCCATTATGGGAAATGGCTCTTGGTTTAATTTACGTTTGATGAACTGCGAAATATTTATATTTATATTTATATTTAAGGGACAGCTTTTTAAGCGAAGTCTAAAGGAACTTATGTTTCGTGTTCTAAGTTGCAAAGAAGAGTTATTTGTGAACCATAGTTTTTTCAGTTGTGTAACAATATTTATACTGCTTGCAGACAGAACAAATCGCTACCTTTTATTAAAGTAAGAGTATTTCAAAATTCCAAGATTAATATTGTCTGATCTCTCCCAAAGTAAATGAGTGGAGTCTAGTAAGATGGTGCCAACTTTTGATTCCGTGGACAAAATCCTGGGGTAAACTTATGGACAGTATATAATAAGAGATTGCTCGCAGTCTATTTAGATTACAGCATTATGGTCTTGCTCCTCACTGCTATGCGCTTCAAAATCGTATTAGGACAACCCTGCCATTTTAAGAGCCTGTTCGTAACAATGTGGTGGACTTTCATCATCTGCATCAATATCTTCTGTCCAAAATCCTTCATTTGATTGCCGTGAAACATCCGGAAGTATTGGAGCGGGTGATTTTTCTAAGTCTTCAGTGGGAATCTCGGAGACAGTAGCTGGAGTAGGAAAACTTCTCCCCTTTGTTTTTTAACATGTTACTGTTATAGACTCTCCTGAAATAGTAAGGAACGACGGAGACAGCTCCGCAAATCTCTCCTGCAAATGAGTTTGACAATCTGCAACAGTGAAGCGAGTTACGCAGTTGACAAGGTCTGTTTCCAGCTGATAAAATAAAAAACGCCGATAGTAAAACAGTACCCGCCAAAACGAGAATTAAAAGAAACAAAACCGCTAAAATGGCTCTCTTCCTCCAGCGTGTACAGACTGTGGGTTCTTCATTAATCTCTGCTATAGTTAAATATCTAGAACTGTCCGCACAACCCCTGAAGTACAGTCAACTTTATAGCGGACACTGTAGGGAACTCGAGCTAGCGTCCTCATTAGCGAGAGTCCGTAATACAGTCAACTTTCGTCTTGCGGACACCCCGCGATAACAGACACTCCGATAATACGGACAACAACTAAATCCCAAGCAAAAATAATTTACAGACGTTTTACTAAAGTAAACTCCCGCTATTGCGGACTCTCGCTCATGAGAACACTAGCTCGAGGTCCCTACTGTGTCCATTTTCTTCAAATGCATTTCGAATTCGCATATTTCTACTTCGTTCCCATTCATTTGGAATTGAAACGATAAATACTTTCATACACTGCCCTAATTCTCTCGAAAACCATACCCAATTCCAGACCAAAAAGGCCCAAAAACCATAACCTTAGGGCATTACATACCTATATGGCTTACATAAGGGAGTAACCTGTTTCGGTTCGTACCAGAGCTCCCCAGGTCTCTAAATACAACTTGAACTTTATTTACGAGCAAAACTCAAGAGAACTTTGTGACAGATCGATTACCAACGAAAGAGAGAAAACTGGCCAAATACGACCGCTTGTATAATACGAGAACTTTGGCGGTTATGAAAAGTTCTTGAAACATCTTTAATATGCTAATTAGCTCCTTGAAATAAACAGTCATAACAAACTACAACCTGAACAAAAAACTTGTCTAAGTTCATCAAAACTGCTCCTCCCTACACGGTATTTTCTAAAGTGGCACCGACCAAGGGCTAGATTTGCTGCGGAGGATGGTTAGTGCTCGAAAAGTCAACTATTAAAAATATTTTCTTGGTACTTTATTGAGTTTATAACGTTTATTAGCTCGGTAACTTATTTTGTTATCTGGAGTCTCCCTGGAACCGGCGGCGCGGGTCGTCTTAGGGGACTGTTGCGAAATCAGGTGATCTCAGGTCATTCAGTTTTAATTTTAGGCTTTTGTCCTTTGTCCTTTGTCTTCTATTCAAGTGTGCCGAAAACTAACTGTTAAAATACAAAATGGTTTTTTGTTGTATGAAAAAACCAAATAAAACACAGTGAAGAACTGACAAAGAGGTTTGATTTGAATGGTCACACAATAGGATTTGATCCACAGACTGAGAAGTAAGAACTCCTTCCAATTTCTTTTCGGTCAGCCAGTTATGGTTCTACCTCGTTGCGCCTTTTGTTTTCAGTCTACCTAATGGGGGTTGAACGTGACCATTGCCTCAATTGTACTTGCAAACATCTCTTGGTTGAAAATGTGCGTGGCGAGTGGTAGCAAATGGAACCAAATTTTCTTATCTCGTATTTCTTCAGACACTTAAATGATGTTATGAATAATGGCTGATAATATCAATGAGGAGCCAAGAGTATCAAACTGGTCGACTCTTTTAAGAGGAAAAACTAGCATTGCAGTTTTTGTAGTAGCCTCCATGTGTATTGTATTGCTTTCAGTTTTGCTTGCTTTGACGAAAGTTCCCGCTAAATCTTGCAATTCCCAAGAGAAAGATGATTGTAGCCAATCAAATATCGCGTTGGTTGGAAAGATTTGTGGAGGTGTCTTCATCTTATTTTTTGTTGTCAGTGGAGCTGCTGTAATAGCTTGCAACAAAAGACACAGGCCTGAAAGCAACTCAGTAGATGTAGTTGTCTCCGAGATTTCTCCACACGCAGGACAGCGAGGATTTTGGACGGAAGACATTGATAACTCGTATGATGAAAATGACCCGCCACCATGTTATGAGCAAGCTCTTAGAATGTATGGTTTGATATCAATCGAGTCCGACCTTGAAGATCAGCATCAGCAAGGAAATAATGAAGATACAAGACTGTAGGCATGATCATAACCCCGGATTATTAAGCCTTCAGGGCAGCCAAACTTGCATTGACTTGGATTGATTCTTTGAATCATTGAAGTTGGATTTTCATGGATTTTCGTGGGTGCGAATATAATTCAGCTTTTAGAAATTATATATCTTAACAGTCTTGCATGTACTGTCAAATGTCTGGGCCGCTCACGTTGACTTGTGTTTAGCCTTTGAGTTAGCAGATTGAAGTTGGACTTTCATGTTTGCATATATAAGTGGAACAGTTTTTTATATTATATTTCTTAACCACGGTCTCAGTTGCATGTATTGAGCACTGATCTTTCAGGGTTTTTTAGCACACAGGACTATAGTCAAAACCCTACTTCTACCACTGTCAAATGTCAGAGGCGTTTTTTAAAACGTTGGCATAGGTTGATTGTTTGAGTCACCAGATTGAAGTTGGATGCAAGGGTGCAAGTAGAAGACAGTTTTTAGACATTATATCTCTTAACAGTCTTACATGTATTTAAACATGAGTGAAAAGCTCTACTTCCTTGCTTGCTTGCTTATTTCGAGCGAACTCGAACTCCATTAACTAGCTTCATCCATTCCTTCCGGCTTCCGATGATGCTCTTCAGTTCAGCAATGCTCAAACCAGCATCATTTGGCAGCTGGTCTACATATGTTAAAACTGGTCTTCCTCTCTTTCTTGTGCTCTGCTTTGGTTCCCAGAGTAGTAGTTCACTTATCACCTCATCCTTTTTTCTCCAACAGTGTCCTATAAACCGCAGCCTCCTGATCATCAGTGTATCTGTAATCTTAGGAAGGTTGCCGTACAGTTCTTTGTTGGTTTTATACTCCTTCCAGGAAACTCCAAGAACTGCTCTGAGCATTCTTGTGTACGAACCATCTAGTCTATTCCTCATCTTTCCAGTCATCGTCCAGCATTCAGCACCATAAAGCAGTACACTTTCAACTGTGACCCGAAAGAAACCTATTTTGAGATGATTTTTTAGGTTTGATTTCCACACTTTCATCATTTTGTTGAGTGCACTCCAAGCTTGTCCAATTCTTATATTCATGTGCTTTTCACTGGATTGTATCCACGAACCAAGATATTTGAAGTCATCTACTTGCTTCAATTTGTTCCCTCCCAGTACTACTTCTACTTCCACCACGATGAAATGCCGTCTGAGGAGATTTATGTTTCACTGATCTGTGTGATTTCCTTTAGACTATTTACCCCTCGGTGGAAACGTGTGCAAAAGTGTATAGAACAGTTAGTTAAATATTTTCTTTCAGTGCATTTTCTGAAAATAATGATCTTCTTTTCGTGGTAAATGCTTTGCATCTGAGTACAAGTATTTCTGGCAAATAGCGCTGACGGTGAGCAACAGTCTCAGAGTTTTCAAACTCTCATTATTTTAAAGTCCTAATTAGTAGATTTCAGAAAGGTTAAGTAAGCCAACAGCGCATTATTATACGAATCATAGTAAAATTGGGCCCTCCTTAGCTCTCAAGTATTTTGCTTAAATTTTACAAATTTCCCTCGGTGTTTGATAGAGATCAAACTTTTGACTGTGAATTGATTCATCGACCTAAAGCTAACTGAGCATGATTATTAGACTTTCTGCTATTGCAAAAGAGTTTTTTTTTTTACTTAATTACTTAAACTCAAGAGAATGTTACCTAAGTGTGAATTAGGGCTCACGCACAGAACAGTAAAAAAACTTAGTCAATGTAACAAAAAAGTATTAGAACTTATATCAGAAGTATGTAATCCATGCAGAGTGACTATCAATGAGATAATTTTTCAGATTTTTTTAAAAACAAATATGGAAAAGGAGCTGGTTAGTGTACATGAACTGGCAAAGAATTCCAGATTGTTGGTCCTCGATAAAGGATACTGAACTGCTTAATATTAATCAGTCTACAAAAATGAGGTTTATACTGAGTTGCTTGTCGACTTTCATAATGGTGAAACTGGTTACTACTTAAAAAGAAGTTACGAAAGCTACTAGGCAAAAGATTATGGTGATAGGAATACATAAATGTAGCAACAGAAAAAGAATTAATGCTATATATGTCAAGGACGTTGTTTGCTAAATAATGGGGCGGTATTTACTAGTTAGTGGGCTTTTGATATAAGTTGCACTATGTGCTTTTGCAAATGGTAAATATATTTTAGGGAGTTTTTGCAATAATGCCCACAGTTTTCGAGATCGTTTTAGAAACAAAACTAATATGAGATTTCGAGGAAAGGTGCTGATCAATGATAATACCTAAGAAAGTAGTTTCCACGACTTAAGGTGGCTGAACACAGTTTTGCGAGCGGTCAGCGGCAACTCGCGAGACGGCGTGTGTTTTAAATTAGACAAACAAACATGGCGGCGAAAAAGCAATGGTACACAGAAGACGATTTCACAAAATTTACTCATTAAAATTTTGTGATACTTGGCAGAAGTTTTATTTTTGTCGTATTTTAAATAATAAGAACTTTAAAATGGAAGATGACAGACGAATTTTGTGTCACACTTAATAATTACAGTACCATTATATTATTGATTATCTAAAAACCCATCTGTTAAAATTTGGTCAAATAAGTTTCAAATGGTAATGATTATTATAATAAGCTGTGTGTAAGTTTATAGGAAAATCTAATGAGAGAATTTTATGTAAACTGAGCAAAAGTGAAAATTTAAGGTTGTATTCAGTCGTTCATGTTGCCATGGAAACTGCGAAAACGTCAAATTTTACCTGTCAATCAAAATCTTTCATCAGTATGTTTTTCAGTTTTCAAGTTTGAGCTTGTGAGATGCAACCTTTTTCTCGCCATTATTTGACAAATGACATATACTCACAAACTGCCTAAACTGTGTTCAGCCACCTGACATTAATATTCTTTTGCCTCGGATGAAAAATCATAAAATTAGTTTTAGTCAAATTGAGGGATAATTTATTCGCTTTAAGCCAAGTAACTATTTTTGCAAGTTCATTGGTAGCAATGGAAACTAGGTGGTCGGTATTCCTGTGGGAACAAAATATATTTGTATCATCAAGGTTGAAATAAGTTTTTATCAAGTTTAATCAAGAGCCAAACTGGGATTTGGCTCTTGGCTTAATGTACGTTTAACGAACTGCGACATAACTAAACTACGCCTCACAAGCGTTATTTATTTTTACACTTAGCCTAGGTTTTTGGACCCTTTTTCTTTCTTTCTTTTGGTGGGAGGGAATGGATTAAGCCCGGTGTTTGTTAGATTGCTAAAGACTCCTACCAAGAATTAAGGGACAGCTTTTTAGGCAAAGTCTAAATAGAACTTATGTTTCGTATTCTAAGTTGCAAAGAAGAGTTATTTGTGAACCATAGTTTTGTTAGTTGGGTAACAATATTTATATTCTAGGAGACCGAACAAGTCGCTACCTTTAATTAAAGCTAGACTATTTCAAAATTCCAAGATTAATATATTTTCTGATCTCTCCCTAAGTAAATCAGTGGAGTCTAGTGAGGTGATTCCAACTTTTTATTCTGTGGACAAAATGCAAGGGAAAACTTATTTGGCAGTATTTTACAAAGTGAAAATTGGAATTTCTGTCGAATTTTGCTTTTTGCCACTTTACAGTTAGAATTCTCGATCAATAAAAATTGTGGAGTACAAGTATTACGGAAATGAAAGAGTTCATAAAAATACATTAGGCATAAATTATGCTACAACAGTGGAAATATTTCATAAAAAATAAACGAAAGCGGTTGAGGATTTTTCATTTACATGTTTGGCGTCTAAATGGCGTTTCTATAGTTTCTACGACCTCATATTATGTCGCATCAAGAGCCGAGACGCATTCTTAGCCCAGTGATCCATGTACGATCAAAATTAAGTTTTGTATAGATTACAGCATTATAGTCTTGTATCCTCACTGCTACGTGCTTCTAAATCGTATTTGGATAACCCTGGCATTTTAAGAGCCTGTTCGTAACACGGTGGTGGACTTTCATCATCCGCATCAATATCCTCTGTCCAAAATCCTTCACTTGATTGCCGTGAAACATCCTTGATACTTAAAACCGCGGTAAAGTAATCTGGCAAGTCCGTCGAACACGCCGCTGCGTCACCGTTATAAATAGTTGCCAGACGCAGAGGAATATGATTATGCAAAAGTATTGGAGAGGGTGATTTTTCCAAGTCTTCGGTCGGAATCACGGAGACAGCAGTTTGGGTAGGAAAACTTGTTGGCATTGTTTTGTAACATCCTACTGTTATGGACACTCCTGAAATAATAAGAACGACGGAGACAACTCCGCAAATCTCTGCTGCAAATGAGTTTGACGATCTGCTACATTGAAGCGAGTTACGCGGTTGACAAGGTCTGTTTCCAGCTGATAAAATAAAAAACAACGATAGTAAAACAGTACCCGCCAAAACGAGAAAAAATCCAGAAACAAAACCCGCTAAAATGGCTCTCTTCCTCCAGCGTGTACAGACTGTGGGTTCGTGATTAATCTCTTCCATGGTCAAATATCTAGAACTGTCCGCACAACACCTGAAGTATTTTTACAATCAAATTTCAGGAGCAAAAAAATCGTCTAGCACTTCCCACATCCTTTTTTCAAGGCTGAGTAGCTTTACGGACTTCCTGTCACGTTGTAAATCCCCGGGGGTACTCCTGAAAATTATTGGTGGGGGTGTGTCACCCCGCAACCTCGTCCCCAGGAAGCCAGGGAAAAGCGCCCTGTGGACGAGGTTGGTCGCCCGGTTCTCTAAATCCAGGCCAACAAATGTAATTTTCCACACCCCTTTTCAGACCTGTCCTTCAGGCAGAAATTATGTCATCATTTCTTAGATTAGTGGGCAACAAAAAATTTCTTCAAATGCTCTAGTTTGGACTTCGCATCAGTTTCTACTTCGTTCTCTTATTCATTTGAAATTAAAACGATAAATACGTTGACACACTCCTGGAGTTCCCAGATCAAAGTAGGCAAAGTGTATACCGGTTTCACTTTCAGCCTAAAAAGGCCCAAAAACCATACGCTTGGGGGCGGCACATACCCATATGGCTTAAATAAGGGAGCACCCCTCCACCCAGGGTATAAAACTCGTTAAAACAATGCCTGTTTTCTAGAGAATGTTCGCGATTGTCATATATCCAGACCTATTGCTAAGACTTCAGCAACGTAAACAAGCACTTCCCTCTGCAAACTTCCGGTCACGTCTTATGAGCTGTTGCCACTTGCCACTTCCTGTGCTAATGAATACAGTGAAACCCCACTTTACGGACACTCACTCAATACGGACACTTCATTTTTACGGACAGTTTGCTTTGTCCCTGGGGAAGAAAGCTCTTACATTTTCTCTCAATCCAACCCGCTTAATGCAGACAACAGACCGGTTTATTTCTTGCCCAGTCAACTGATTTTCATAGTAAGCCAACCTCGCTAATGTGGACACTTCATTATCAACTGTGAGCTGAAACTTACCTTTCCTTTTTGAAGGTAAAAAAATCTTTAGGGACGGACCATTAGAAAACTTTTTGGGGGAAGGTACAAAAAAAAAAGCCAAGGGAAAATTTAGTTGACAGTAACCCTAAAAAATATCCATGCTATGGCTTAAAAAAAATTCATACAAGGAATTTGATAACGAAAAAAATTCCTGCGGCTCGAAAATTCCCCCCCCCCCCCCCCATAACTTTTCTAATGGTCCCTTCCTTAGTTGACAGCATATCGATGTTCTAAGTACTACAGTGCCGGCACCGGATACGACGATTTCTAGACGTCAATTTCCGACTAATTTTGGCATCGAACTATTCATACAGAGAACGGTTTTGATTAAGAAATATACTTATAGATGAGCGATTTTTTATATGATTGTTTCCGTGGATTTAAGCCACGGAATCACGGCTTTTGGAAGGTTAGAGATGTTTAATATGATGATGCTTACGTCCTGTTTTATAACTTCCCATTTTTAAGATCCCCTTTCATCGTTCCCTGTTCAAATTCTTCACTTTAAAAATAGCCTATCGAACGCTGAGAAATCTTGTACATTTGTCATGTGACGTTGAAGTTCGTTGACTAAAAAGAGTTTTTTTTAATCAAGCTCGTAATCAGAAATTAACACAGGTGATATCATGAAAATAGCGTCGTAACCTGTTGTAGCTTTGATGATCTCTGTATGTGATTTAATAACGCTAAAAACGCTTGATGCTATCCAGATGGGTTAGAGAAGTAATTAATATCCACATAGATACTTAAGCTAAGATGATTGAATGCGAGATGGTTACAATGGTTAAAATTGTTAATATATCCTCTCATTTCAATAGCCCAGGCTAATACTTTAAATACACTATTTCTGTTAATGCAGTTAATGTTAAATAACTCCCCGTGCGAAGTATTTGTTCTGTCCCAATTAGTTTTACGGTTTATTTTTCTATTTTTATTAAATCAGGTTTTATTGGGCAAATGTCACTACATAATTTTGAAAACACGAGACGCAATGCCCACAGATCAAACACCGAGAATCGAAAAGAGTTCAGACATCAGTTTTTAAATACTTTGCCAAGCAAGTCTTTGGTCAGTCCTGTCTCGGACAAGACAGTAACAAATATACTTCGGTATGTGCATGAATTCAGCAACTGATCAACATATTCCATCAACGTATAATAAATTATAATTATTTTTTCATTACATTATTATAGTCTTGTATCTTCACATCTTCCTTGTTCAAGTTGGGCCTCAACATCATTTGAAGTTGTCAACAATCCTGAGATTTTAAGCGCTTGTTCGTAACATGGCGGTGGGTTTTCATCATCAGAAACATCCCTATCTTCTGTCCAAAAGGCTACATCTACAGATGGATAAACGTCTTCACTATTTTGTTGTACAATAGTGAAATAATCAGGCAGGTCTATTGAATGAGAATCTGCAACAAACGACGCGGGCTCGTGGCGAGGAATACGGTTCTGACCGCAATTAAGTGAAGAAGCTGCCGGCGTTTTTTCCAAGTCCCGTGCTGGAATCTCAGAGACAACAACTTCAACTGACTTAAGTCTTTTCGTGCTTTTGTGACCAAAAATTATTATAATCACTCCAATAATAATCAGTATAACGGCAACGCCTCCAAAAATTCCTCCTGGTCTGTTTGATTTCGATGAACGCTTGCAATGGGCAGACTTTGGATCATCTTCATTTGAAGGGCAAGGCAAGAAAAAAGAGAACATAAGAACCAGCAAGACAATCGCCCCAAGCAGGCAAAAAAACCCGAACACTAAAACTGCAGGTAAAATAATAGTTCTACACTTCGACCATCTTAAAGCTGGTTCCACTGTTTGTTGATCAATAAACTCTCTCATTATTTAGCACGGCACTCAGTAACGTCTTGCTTCAAAGGGAATAGCTGATATTGTAGGACAAATCGTTTACTACATCTCGCGTTTAAAGCACTGTGACATGGTACTTGTATTTTTAGCGGACATAAACAATATACTCATTCACGTGCAGTCGGTTGTACTTAACCACATTATTTAAATAACTGTACCAATATACTGACAGCCGCATTTGACGTAGCTCATGAGCACGTTCTTGAGGCAAAAAATTACTTCGTCTCATTACTGATAGATTTCAACATCCACTCCAGATTCTGAACGTTAATCAAAGAAAAAGATTCTTGTATTAATAATGATGATCTTGTTTGTTGTTTGATAGTATCGCGAGGTAATTATTGAATTTTAGATTAACCTTAGTAAAAACCGTGACAACATTAAGATGCACGAACCATTTCAGGGTTCCATAACGGAAAATGCGTCATTAAATGGAAATTGAGGCCAAACACTTGATTACAAAACAGACTGAAAATGAAAGCCAACATGGAAAAAAAAGTAAGAATCGAGTTTCCTATTTTCGCCAAAGAAAACCGTCCTGAATATAAGATATCAGAAGCCATAAATAATATTGAAGAATTTGCTCACTTTAATGATAATTTTATTTGAAAATCACTTCAGTCTATGGAGACCAAGGAGTGAGAAGAGAGCCGAGAGCCTTTCATTTTTTTACTGAACAAGTAGCTTTCAGGGAAGAAAGGGAAAAGAAATTAAATGTCTCCACTTCCCGTTGTTTTTACGCGCTTCACAATTTTTTTGCATCTTTACTTACCTCAAAGATGAAACGTGCTTTCTCGCGTCAGGTAATTTCACAGATTGCGACACTTTCTTTACACATGAAAGCTTCGACAAGTGTACGTCTTCGAACTGCATGCTTTTATCCGCGTGTTGTTTGAAAGAATGACGTCAAAGAAGTTCAAAGAGGTAAGGTCAAATTTTTAATGTTCATCCAAGCTGCGTGCTAAATACCTTCCTTTTCCCAAATCATACTTTTCTTAATCATATATGAAATCTAAACGAGGTAAACATACTTATTCATCAAATGAATAGTATGGTAAACTTAACGACTTTATTAGTTTGTCTAAAAATAAGGTATCGTGCTTGTTTAGTTGTTTGACCGCTGAACAAATGTATGCGATAATGTCACTGAGTCGGAACAGCGTTGTTGACAAAATTACGTTTACAAAATCAAGGAAAAAGCGTATCAACAACCGCAAAGTACACAAAACGTTATCTGGCTTATAATATCATTCCAGCAAAGGATACTAAGATATCACAAGATTGTGATTTAGTACAACGTATAGTAACAACATCTTAAATTATGAAAGAACATTTGGAACAAGAAGGCCAAGAGAAGTTAATATCTTCAACGAGTGATGCAAGTTTATATTTGAAGTCTATTGCTATCCCACTGTTCGCATTTCTCTGCATAGCAGGCAGTATCGTCATTCTAGCGTTCAGCTTTGTGTTATTACAAAACAATTGCGCCGGTTGTCGTCCTTCAAATGAAGAGGTGGACTCAAGGAACTTGGAAGCAGTTCTTGGGCTTATAGCGGTACCTCTATGTATAATTGGTGGACTGACGGATTTTCGAAGGAGGTCAACTAGAGGAAGAAGACGTCCTCGTGTCTCGAGCAACCGTTTTTGGTAGCTGAGGTTAACGAACAGCAGCCGGAAATCTTTTAGTGGCTCAGTGTTGTCTTCTTCCCATTCATCACTTTAAACAATGTCGGAGTTGGTTCAGTAGCTGAGAACATCTTATACACTATAAAATAACAGACCAAGGGCCCTGCCATGCGGTGGTTAGTTGGCGAACATGTTCCAAACTGTTCCACAGGCAACCCATACACGGTTTCTGTCGATACACAGCTTTTCCTTACTGGCTGAGAGAACCAGATGTCGAGTGAACTATTTACTACGTGAATTGGATCTGGATTATAAACAAGAATTAACACAATAAATGGAAATGTATTTTTTAACGGTGCATATCATCCCACATAAGTCTAAATTTAATAAGGTAATGTTCCGATTATGTTTTACGTGAAAAGGTCCGCTGTATCAAGACTCAGTTTGCACTCGGGCTATGATTGGTAATTGAAGAGAACTTTAAAGCATGTTTACTTAAAACAACTATGACTGTGTTTAGTGTTTAACAAGAGAGCTCATTCTGTCTTGGTGTTAAACAAATGTTTTCGATAACTCTTAGGCACGATTTGAAAAGACATTAACTTCCTCTTATTATTCAGGATATGACGCTTGTCGATCATTAATGGCGTCCCCGTTCCGTATAATGCGAACCTCGTTCCTCGTTCCATACTAAGTTAGTGAACCTCATTTTACCGTTTGGCATTACAACCTACGCGATGTCAAAGATATTTGTGCTCTCATTAACTCCAAGCAAAATTTAATCATTCTTATGCCTTTTTTCAGTAAAACAGGATAATAACGGGCCCGATCCATTCAATCAAAATTCAGACCGGTCCGACCGAGAAAAGTGGTCCACCTCAAAAGGTGGACCAGTTTTTTCGGTTGGACCGAACCGATCCATTGAGTTTTGGACCGAAATTCCCGGAAATTTTGGTTGAATGGATCGCGCCAATCGCGCCCAATGTCTCTTCATCCTCTCTTTTATTTAAATTATTTATTCCTTTTTTCCGCTATTTATATTTATACTTTTGATTTTATTTGAAAATAGAAGTTGTAACGGGGTTCCTGTTGGCTGTGTTGGGAGTCCTGCGTGACCCCAATCATGCGTGAAAACTGGACTGCTAAGCCACTATACATGAAAGGTTGTAGGGTACTTCCTGTTCCATGCAGACAATCATGCCTAGCCTATCAGAACATCAATTTTCTTTTCCCCTCTATTTGTCACCCATAGCTGAGCTATAGAGCCTTTTATAAAAATTATGCAAGTCGAAAACGTCGCGAGTTACGGTCCCACTATTTTTAAGACTAAGGGATGCCGTCTTGCATTTATAATCTCCGTCATGCTCTTCCTCTCAGCAATCTTTTTGAAAATTTCAGCGAACCTATCGTTACCATGGTTACGATGTCAGGCTAGAGGCAAGGTGAAGGTTATACTAAAAAAAGAAAAACTAAAACACCAGAAAAATTCAGAAAAAAAAGCATGAAAAATCGGACTATCAGGCTAGGTTGAACGCTTTTGACCGAGTTGTGACAAAATTGAACGCGTAAAAAGGGTTTTGCAACACCAACAATTTGTTGAAAGTTTAGTAGAGCTTTCGGAAACCATCTGGATCCTGTTAATGATGGTAGAGACGGATGCCTTGAGGGTAAATGTGACAGTGATCCTTGTTTTCCGGGTATCAGAAGATTACGAAAAAACTGCACGTTCGAGGGAAGCGATACATTATATAAATACAGCATATTTGATCTGCCTCCGTCAGAAACAGCTAGACGAAGGCTAAACAAAATCATTTTAACTCCAGTGAAAATTAAATCTAAATTAATGACTGAATACAACGAAGGGCAAACCATTTGGAGAGTATCCAAGGTTACAAGACGAGTTTTGTATGTCATTGGTGTGGTAGCCGCATTTCTCTGCTTCGCGGGAAGTTCAGCAACCTTTACGGCAATATTTGTTGTTTTTTGTTCTCACTGTTCAAGGCCTAACTCGTTATTGGTATGGTTAAATGGCCTTGCAGCTGTAAGCTTAGCCGCCATTGGAATAACTATCTTATATTTTGTAATATTTGGCTGCCGAGAAGGAGATAACACTGAAAATGATGCTGACGTTGTCATCTCCGAAATTCCCGCTGAAGACGTGGAAAAATCGCCAGCTCCTGTAATTCCTTACAATCACATACCTCATTATTCACCGTTTGTACAACCCTCTTCAAGGGATTTGCCAGATTATTTTACCACAATACAAAACAGCAATGGAGGGGATTTACCGGATTATTATAGTATTCTTCAAAAGGGCAACGGAGCTCAGCTTTTTGCGGACGCTGAAATCTCAGGAGACATTACACCACCATGTTACGAGAAAGCGCTTGAAATGACTCGTTCTGGAACGGCATGTGTTGACGTACGATCTAGCAACAGTATATGACCTTTTGTTTGAGGAAAAGGTATTATCATAAGCCAAAATGGGACCATTATGACTCTTTGTATTATGTACCTTGACACCTGTCAGATAGCTGCCGCAGACGTCAAGTCAATAATGGCATTACTTTCACAAAATTCGGTTGCTTTTTCCTCAGGGAAAGGAGAACGAGCAAAACGCGAGCGCGTGTGAAAATCAGCCCCACGAGAAAGAAGAGACGCGGTGGGAGAGAGAAAAATGACCACGTCTCTCGTCTCGCGTGGGGTGATTTTCACGCGCGCTCGCGTTTCGCTCGTTCTACTATCCCTGAGGAAAAATGGGGACTACTCGTAGTCTATGGTCCTACATACACTTAGGCTATACTCACCCCCACGGGTACCGGGTAGCTTCTCGTGCCGACAGGAAAAGCTATCCAATAACGTAAACCAATCCGATATGTGACTCTCAGTCTTAAGAGATCGGCGAGGGGCAGCATCGCTCCGAAGGAGAAATCGCGCCGAAATCACCGTTCTTATGTGTGAACTTAAGCCCTATCTGGTGTGATTTTCGTGAAAGTTGTCCAGTATTGTGTGAACGCCTGACAGCCTGACAGACAGGAAGAACAAGAGGAGTTCACTTTGGAAACCAAAACAGTCCACCGTGCGCTAATCAGGATTTCTGATGCTTGTTGAGAGAAACTGAGAAAGAAAATAGCATGATAATTTCTTTCACCTGTAAAACAATAAATGCATGATAACCGCTGCTCTTTTCAGAACCTAGTTCTCAGGACTTAAGGGGGATGAAGGATGAGGAACCCTGAAAACGAGATTATCACCCAGTCATCAACCCCACAGTCCCACAATCCCTTGTTGTCCTTGAAATTCCCATAATTCTTGTTGCTTCGTTCATGCTTATGTAAGTTTTGTATTTCTTGTCTTTTGCACTACGCAGACTATCGCTATTGTGGTGAAAAAAATTTGAAAATTGCCCGGCCCCTTATTTACGGCCTTGAGGCACTTTCTGTACCAGAGTCTGCAAAACATATTATTTTTAGTTTCTACGTGGCATGCGCCCTTGTTGTCCATTTTTGACCATTTTTTTGAATCGTGTTCTCAGGGTTTTACTCATTGACTTCTCTCTCTAGGGAGTGATTGTAACGGATAATATGAGGGATTTATTTCACGAAAAACCGAGTTTTAAAAAGTTATAGGCACAAATGATAATAAATTCTGTTCCTTGTGTCAATGAAACAAAAGTGAATGGAAGCCTCCAACAGAGACATTCTTAGGGTCTTGTCACGCGTTCCTAGAAACCAAGGCCTCCTCGGTCAAAGCATTTCACAACCTGATAATAAACGCACAGCCTCGTCCCCAGGGCGCTTTTCCCTGGCTTTGGAGGTGGGGTGCCCCAACTTCAAAGCCAAGAAAAAACGCCCTGGGGACGAGGTTGTGCATTTCAGTAGCGATTCAATACGAAACAAACACTCGCTCGGATCACGTGATCCGAAACGCATAGGCCGCGCGCAATAATGAGGCCTAGGGACAAGGCAAGAGCCGTCGTGGGAAGCTATCGGCACTGTGTGGCAATGGGCTAATTTTTTTTTAGGCCAACATTCGGCTAACTATATGGCCCGCCCGAGCTATACTGTACTGTGATGGAAATGAAAATCACGATACTTGTCTTAGCCAATAGACAAGGAGCCAAAAGGAGATAAAATAAACTTAGTCCTTCGATTCTCTTATGCTCGACTTTATTCTCATCCTAAGAGACGAAAACTTTGTCGCTGAAATTTATGCTGTCAAAAATTCAGGCATTTATCAGGCCTGGGCTAATACGGTAAGGTAACTGTAACCTAAGATCAAGCTCTATTTTCGTTTCGCTTTGAAAATTACATTCCGGCCGGCAAGGCGAAACGAAACGGTAGCCGTTAGAGAGAATGTACGAGCACCGCTAAAACTGGGCCTGATCTCAGGTTACCGCAGTTACGAAAATGAAAGGGCCATCATGTTCCTTTCAAACTATCATAAGAAGCTTCAAATTATTGTCTGGTACCGTTCCCACTAAATCTTTCAAAAATGTCACAATATATTGAGGCAGACCTGTCATGGAAATGGCCCAAGTGTGGAAGAAGGCTTTTATATGCAGTCTTATCGCTGTTCTGTTTCATGGCATGTGCAGTAGCTTTTATTATGGGATTTATGATGTTTTGTCCAGATTGTGCATCTCCAAACACGCTTTTACTGTGGGTACATTTGGTAGGTGCCTTTCTGTTATTCGCCATTGGAATGAAGACATTGGTCACGATAACATTCAGCAGAGGAAGGCAAAACACTCCTCCAGCTCGGGTTCTCATTTCTGACGCTCGTACGGGAGATTTGGAGGATTCACCCGCCATTCTTTCTACCCATCGCATACCTCGTCGTTTACTGTTTGTTGTAAACCCACTACATAATCTAGTACCTCGGCAAAACCAGGCCACTGAAGATCTTTCTTGGAGAGATTTGCCGGATTATTTCACTGCTCTACAGAACAGTAATGACGCACGTGTTGGGGAAACGCATTTCAACGAAGCATTTTGCACAGAATACGTGCCCACAACTCCACCTCCATGTTACGAAGAAGCGCTTGAAATGACACTGATAGCAATATCTGCTTCAAATGAGGGGAAGGATGCACATTCCGAAGAGTTGTGAAAACGTATATGATAGTATCATTAGCTATCATTATTCCGGTAGGCGACAAATCTACGAAAAAACCTATATCACGCTATTATTTCAGTATTAAAACAAATCTTCCTTGTACTTTTCATTTGAACTAGAACTCAGCAGAAGACTGTTTGGATTGTGTAGATCTTCGTTTGAAGAAAGTTGTTGTACTGAGTTTTGCTGACTTGAAAAACTTGATCTTTTTCACAGTCAAATAGTAAAGTGAGTGAGTAAAATCGTATGATTATAGTCCACTATCTTTGTTTGTCTTTTTTTTTTTGGCGAGAGTTTTGCAGCTTCCTTGACAGCCATTTCATGGTGAATATAACTCTAATCATCTCATTCAAAAAAGTCGTTATTCTGATCCTTTAAGTCTGACTCAGTAAGAGCACCATTCTTTAAGTTTGATAATGACTATTTTGTCAGTGCAAGAGCAGTGATAGTATCGCCAAGCATTTCATTAGATTAACCTAAACTCCATCACAATATTAACTGAGGCGCACTCGTTTGTTCCCTCGACGGAAAAATGCGTCATTGCCGGAAATTGAAAGTGAAGGAAACACTTGATTGCGAAGCAGAATCGAAGACTCAATATAACTTGAAAAAAAGTGAGAACCGGGTTTTATTTGATTAAGATTTCTCAAACTCATTAATAATTCATAAAGAAAATTCAAAGGAAATTAATGTTTAATGAGTGTTTGGATATCAGATCAAAAACTGCTCATTTTTGCATCCTTAATTTCTCCTTCAAAAATGATTTTGTTTGAGAAGAAATATCAAACAAACATTAATATATCAAACACAGTTTTTCATCACCCGATGAAAAACGACCTCGAAGTATTTTTCGTCAAAGGTGTTTCATCTGGTGATCCGCTGCTCGTCGTATTTTCAAAAAACTCCGCTGCTCGTCGTATTTTCAACTTTCTTCTCGGTGTTTCATCTGGTGATGAAACACTGCGTCTCATGTTTGATATATTACATCAGAAGTTATAAAAAAAACCTTGCAGATTTTTTTCAAAATCAATTCAGTCCATTTGGAGACAAGACAGGAACCCTAGTGAGCTGAGACAGATTTCGAGTACAATTGTGAGTCATAAATAGAGCTTGTTTTTGTGTGTAAGGCTATCCCCCTTTGTTTTCGTTTAGCGTCGAATGCGTTTCCTGATATTGGGTCGGTCGGTGGGATTGAAAAAAAAAAAAAAAAAAAAAAAAATCACAAGAAGTCTCCGAATAGGAGGTCCTGGTACCCTGGGATGACGTTAAAAGTTAACATTTACATATTTGGATTAACCAAATGCACAACATACTGTAAAAAATGTTCCTGTTGTTTTTCCTGTTTTTCTCCACACTATTTTATACTCATTTTTCAGGTTAAAAAAATTATTTCAAGTGAAAAATGGTTTAACTACGTCGTTACTTCTTTGTTTTTTTTTTTGAAAATGACAAAAATTTGGGTCAGTCGGACGACGCTAAACGGAGAAAAATAAGAGGATGTCCTAAAGCCAAGCTGCGATATTCCTTCTAATATACAGCACGTGTGAAGAAACTTCGCATGATGTTAAAAGTTGTAAACGGGGAATGTCAACATTATTTCACAATCTATAGAACTAATGTAATAAATACCTATAGCTATAATACTCGATCTTTCTTCAATGATTCTTTGGCTTTACCGAAATGCAGGTCAAACCAGGGTCTCCGCGGATCATTTCACTCAAGTAAGACTCGCCCGTGAAATTGTATAGACGACAATACTAACACAGATAAGGGGCACCCAACGACTGTTTTCGGGAAAATATCTGTTCGGAGAAGCAAATATTGCCTAGAATTTTCTGTTATCTGAGGAAGGCTAAAAATTTCTGGATGACCATTTCTTGAAATTAACCTCTCGGCATTTATCATGTTTGTCCGCTGACCAGATAATGCTTACTCACTTACTTTGGCTGGGAATCTTCCCGCGCCTTGCTGCCTATTTTTGACAAGAGTACAGCTTGCTTCTTTCGAGAGAAGAATGATTCATGAAGGATGAAGGATTTGTTTGCTTAAAACCGCACTTAAAAATAGTGCAGGCAAAACTCACGAGATATCCCGTTACATGTCAGTAAAAGTCTAATTAAATGTGATATTTCAGGAAGTCATAAGATCAGAGAACTTTTGCTTTTACTTTGAACACAAACTAAGCAAGACCGATGTGGGCTAGAAAGCAGCTTCTTCATCAAAATGAATGATTTGTCTTAGCCATGGACAAGAAGGCAAAGAGGAGATGAAAATAAGCTTTTCCCTACAGTTTTTTAGTGTTCAAATACGTCCTCGTACAGAAAGCTGGGAACGCCGTTGTTGACATTTGTACCATAACGATTTTAGGCTTTTAACAGGTTAGGGCTTGCAAAGTCTTTTAAGTTCCACTTGACTTCACACGGTACGAAAGTTAGAGGGTACGTTGGAACGTTCTCTTCAAAGTTGCCATCAAAGAAGCTCCAAGCATAGCTGTGGGTACCGTTCCCGCAAAACCTTAGAGAACAATGCAGGCTTGCATTGACCCAGAGGTCCCAGGAAAATGGCCCATGTGTGGAAGAAAGCTACTATACACAGTGTTATCTCTGTTCTGTTTCATTACAAGTGCGACGGCTTTTATCATTGGATTTATGATGTTTTGTCCAGATTGTGTATTTCCAAACATGCTTTTACTGTGGGTGCATTTGGTAGGTGCCTTTCTGTTATTCGCCATTGGAATGAAGACATTTGTGACGGTAATATTTAGCAGAGGAAGGCAAAATACTCCACCTGCTCGGGTTCTCATTTCTGAAGTTGCCACGGAAGTCTTGGAAAATTCAACAGCGACACTTGATACCCATCGAATGCCTCCTCGTCTACTGTTCATTGTAAACTCTTTACACAGTTTAGCAACTTGCGATAGATCTCAGCAAAACCAGGCCACTGAAGATCTTTCTTGGAGAGATTTACCGGATTATTTTACTGCTCTACAAAACATGAGTGACACAAGTGCTGCAGGCGACACATACTGCAACGAAGCATTTAGCACAGAAGACGGGCCTATGACTCCTCCTCCGTGTTATGAAGAAGCGCTTGAAATGAAATTGATTGCACGTCCTGCTTCAAATGAAGAGAATGCGCATCTTGGAGAGCTATAAAATTTCATTAAAAAAAACTTACTTGACGTTGTTATTTCGGTACACGAATCATCTTTGACAGACAGACTTGAACCCATCAGAAGACATGTTTGAATGTGTAGATCTTCCTTTGAAGAAAATTATCTACTGTTCTTTGAAGGTAAAAGTCTTAGTCTTTTCAACATCAATCAAGTAAGCATCTCAATGGGAAAATATTTATATTTTTGCGGGAGTGCTGCTGCTTTATTGACAGCCATATTTATAGTGAATATTACTCTAATCATCTCATACAAAAATTCGTTTATTCAGATCCTAAAAATTACATTAAGAGCAGGATTTCAGTATTTTGTCAGTGGCCGTTTTTATACTGAGGACGCATTATCTAGCCTGCGTAGCAGTACCCTGAGCCAGATTGCCAGAATACATATTGATATTACTATTTTCAGGGGAATGTCCGCGAATCGACGCGAACGGCGCGCCCCGCAGAAGTAAACAATGTAATAAGCGCGATTGATAGGCTCTTGCAAACTTTACAACTTCCCGCTGGCAACAGCAAGTGGTAACATCTGCGCATGCGTCAAGCTTGCTGGGAAGCACTTGTTGACGGGAAATCGTAATGGCCGAAAGACGTTCTGAAGCACTTTCAAGGGAGATTTTTTTGCATACCCAATCGACAACAGACATGTCTTATAGATTGGATACTTTGGCTAAGCCATGTTCAAGTGTCATGTATGGGAGAAGGACCATTTAGGTGGTTAATTTTCATTCATTTGGCTCCTCTGATGAAGCAGATAAAGCGTTCACAAAGGTCGTTTGTTGTGATCTGTTGATTTGTTGACATTCAAGCGGTCACGGATTTCTGGGTTATCATCCACGATCTGCAGAGCTGCCTAACATTTAGGTAATATACCCCTTGATTTACTGGCAGAAATGTGGAGCAGCATCATCGAATTATGTGTTAAAATTATAGCAGCCTGAATTCAACATAATTCATGTGACCCCGGTATTTTGTAGTATTTGACCCTGACCGCACAGCGAGATCAGTTATATATCCCACAAGCGACTAAACAGGTTAAACTTCTCTTTCGGTCACTCCGTATTTTCACTTTTAATGGTAAATTTAAGGGGGGGAAGTTTGAGTATTTTGATACTATTTAGCGGCATGAAATCAACAAGCAAATTTCCTACTCTTACAAGAAAGGCCATAGTCGGATGTTTCCTTCCATTTTCGAAAATTTGCTTTTCTTGTTTACATTGGTGCTCTATGGCGATTACTTATTCTCAGAGATTAAGAGATCGAGGCGGTGGATTGTGAAATATTATTTGCCAAAACTTCGTTAACGATGGACAAATTTTGTCCTTTTCAACCTTGTTTTTAGAGTTTTCGTTAACATGTAAAAGTATATCCCAACAAAACTTATTTGTAAGAGCATTGTTTCGGAACACTCTTTCATTCTTGAATGTTTGATTTTGCATCCAAGGGGGGGAACACAGATGAATTTGCGTTTTAATAATCATGCACTGTAAGCTCTCAGATTCACTGACAACAACCCTCACCATTTGGAAGATGATTTTATTCTGATAATTATTCAATGATGATTTGTTTATACATACAAAATTGGCACCTAAAAGAATTGTAATGTTATGCTTAAAATGTTTACATAATGTCTTGAAACACAACTGAAATCAATATAAAATATGAAAATACACATATGTGCATTCTTTTCCCAGCCCTACTATAAAAGTGATTTAATAAGTGTGATTTAATGCATTTTCATATGACCATTACAATATTACTCCCACTTTGACACTAGCACA